TTTATTTTGCCTAACACCTATTTTTTTTTTTTTTTTTTTTTTTTTTACTAATGACCGGTCATTAGTAGATACTTATGACCGGTCATTAGTTAAATCATGTGATAAAGAATAATTTGAAAAAAGAAGGAAAAAACATCATCTTATAAAACAAATAATACACATCATTTTGTTCGTGCATTAGTAAAATTACCCACCCTCGGTACCTTCGGAACAGTCCAAAAACCCTCGGCTCTCGCCTAGGGCGTGTCAGACTGTTTCAAAGGTACCGTCCTTGTGTGGGTAATTCTTACTAATTCCTTCACTGCTGTGTATTATTTGTATGATATTACATGCAGTGAATAACCGTTTAATTTTTACTATGACTACAAGGATAATGTTCTATTTTAAAGCAACGTCAGTACTTCCTAGTTTGAAAGCGCATTGAAATGATACATACATTCTATCGAAAGCAATAATATACTTTGAATGCAAATAATAGCACCTAGGCCTTTCGCCATTGTTAGCATGCGATGTTATAATGTACCAGGAGAAAGACTGAATCATCTCAAATGTCGAGTAATTTTCTGAGTTGAACTACATGTATAATAAAAATCACCTAAATAATAACTTATATGGAACATATGAAATAGAAAGCTTACTTTATAGACCTCGCTATTATCCGTGATAACCATTTGATATATATATATATGTAAAATTATGAATCCCAAGTCATATTTCAAACAACCAAAGAGCACACACACCACGCCCTTGTTGAACTCTCTGCATTGGCTTCCTATTCAACAGCGAGTGCTCTTCAAGACCTCCACCCTTGTCTTTAAGTCGTTACACTATCTCTCTCCCTCATATCTTACTGATCTCGTTCATGTTAGGCACTCCAGTTACAACCTAAGATCCAACACTCGTACAGTTTTAGATACCCCAAGGTGTCGAACCAATGCTGGTAAGCGGGCATTCATAGCCACTGCTCCAAAATCATGGAACAATCTCCCCAATTTTGTACAAACTGCTGATTCTCTAATGACTTTCAAAAAACACCTCAAAACACACTTGTTTAACTGATGCCCGCTTACCAGCACTTGTTCTTGCTCTTCTATTACCTGTCTTACCCTTTATTTTGTTCATTCCTATATTGTTACATACATGTCTGTTGTTAAGCATCTTTCTATTTTGTTAATTGTTCATTGTATATGTTAATTAAGCGCTTTGTATCTACTTGTAGAAAAGGCGCTATACAAATGTTCATTATTATTATTTCCGATTAACCCAATTTCTTTTTAAACCCGATCTCGACTCTTCATTTATATCTATTAAAGAAGAAACTCTAGCCATCATTTTAGGATCACTGGGTGGTGTTGCTTTTCTTCTCGGTTTGGTAGCATGTTGTATGTGCTGCCTGTGGCTCGCTATTCTCCGCTCTAGACCTGGACGAAGGAGACGAGATTCGGCACTTGGTGATGATCTGGTAAATTTAGAGCAATGTTCAACAATGAAATACATTTATTCGAAATCCCAGTGTGATTGGAGGGATCTGCACCATTAAGATAGAACTGGGTTTAGAGAGATAAACGAATGAAATGCCATGTATAATGACTGTATTACATAAACATATTACACACGTATTAACAAGTACATGACGGTGTTATAATCCCAACAACGTTTTCATAAGGGGACCTGCTAACAAGTTCAAAATGACAATTAAAAAAAAGATACATATGGAATATTATTGAACGGGACATGCTCCGGAGTTTCTTATTCTACATTCAGCTAGACATTTACAACAGGGTCGAAATGTATTGTACTGCTTGATTACAGCGAATGTTAAATCATCATGTTCGTCATCATGGACATCCAACCGAACCTAACGTTTACATCTTCCTAGGAGAAGCACGTCCATACTGTTTTTATTCTGTAAAGGAAATATTGAAACAAACTAAAGAGATCCTGTCGTAGTATTCTTATCCATTACATCTAATATCCTTACATCGGTTTGATATTGCAGTTGGCAGTTCATTGACTGTTTATACGTATTTACTTGTGTTACAGGAGCCCCCTGTAAGAAGCCCCGGAATCATCTACAATCCCTTTTTCATCAACCACGAACCATCCGAGAAAACAACCATCACAACCTTGCCAGAAAGCAGGATATCTACGTGTGAGTAAACTGTTATATACTTATTAAGATGTGTTATACCTTTAATAGCTGCATCTGGTCAATCTACAATTTCTTCTGATAAGATTTTAAACTAATTGCCCATAATTAACAATATAGCCAATGAGGAAGTGTAGCTAGCTATTAGAGGTTATGCCCACCTCCCCTTGTTGATTTTTTTTAAATGAGACAAAAAGAAAAGCCCGAGGACACGGAGGAGATTGTAAAGAGCTATCTATCTTCCCTCTTCCAATCGCTGTTGAGAAGCAGGATGATCGTAAATACTTTCAATTTCAGTCTATTTATGCATCACCTACCGAAACGTGTGAATATGTCAATGAAATATTACGTAACTTGAACGTGACCTAAATATATGCAATGCAATAGGGTTCTAGCACTTCGCTTGATTTGATTTGTTGATAGTCGTTGCACTCGTAGGTTATCGTTACTAGGCTCTCATTGTATTCATCCACGTGCTAATCTTCCTCTAACCCATGACAGGACACGCGATTCGGCAGGTTCTCGTCCATTATACATTGTTTGTATTTAATTTTGAGAAGACAAATAGTACTTCAGTGGTCCTTGAGATTATTTTCATATGAAGTGTTTTACATAATTTATTGTCATCTACAAGAAAAGCGGTTGAAAAACATTTTAGGGGAAAACTCCACTTTGCCATTACCCTTTGTCCTTTTTTTTATGACTAAATCCAATCCCCATCCTTTTCTCTCCATTTTCACCTTTATTTGTTGTACTACAGATTGATGGAGGCATGCAGAAACCTTTGCCAATTTCGACTTGGGTGGATTTCTTCGGTGTTGTTTCGAATACTGCCCAATATAATGTTTAGAAAGAAGTGTGTTAAACTTATTTCTGTTTTGTAAAGTCTTATTTATTCGGAGACAATGCTCTCTGTATCTCTGTCATTTGCATTATGTTTTTTCTTGTAAAAATGATTACGAACGACATTTTATAAGTAAAATCGAATGTATCCTAGAATCAATAACTGTATAAACTTATAAATGGAATGCTCTGTATAAAAACACGTTCTTGAGACTAATGCATTAAGGCGCATGTTTTTCACTGTAGTTAGGATGTGTAGAAGAAGAGTAGGTAGGAGAGAGAGAGAGAGGGGGTAAATAGTTTGAGAGATAGAGATATAACAGAAGAGAGAGAATGCAGGGGAGATATACAAAAGGAAGAGGAGATGAAAGAGATAAAACGGGGGAGGGGAAGAGAGAGAGTTCGAAAGAGAGAGAGAGAGAGACGGGGGGTGAGAAAGTGCGAAAGACAGAGAAAGAGAGAGGAGTGGATTATTTTAGGAGGGCTATAGGGTAAGAGAGTTTGAGAAATGGAGGGGTGTTTCAGAGTTTTATACAAAACAGAATGTGCAAATTAGAGAACCGAGTGTGTAAAAAGAATGTAATAATTATTTTCCAATATCAAATTAAACAAAGCTTGATGCAACCAATTCTGGAAAGTTCAGAAAGTTCTAAATAGGCCAAGATCAACACATACATTTGACGATGACGTTCTAATTTACCTTTCTCTTGTGTCTGGCTTTTATATCTTAATTTCCAAATTAAACATTCAAATGACTAACATTTTTGGTATCTAAAAATAGTCAACGTCATTTTTCTAGGTCAAGGTGAATAGTTCGATTTTATTTCCTCAGTGACAAATTTGAGACGATTACTAGGGTTATTACAATAGTTTGATGGATAGGTATTTGCAAAGCTTTGGTAAATATTGACGAACAGGGTAGGAGTTTACATCTTTCGCGATACCTCTAGTATAAATATGATATAAGGTGTGGGCATTTGATTGATCAATCACACTTGACGAGACTGATCATACAGACATTAGAAAGAAGAATTAGGAATGCAATTTGTGTTCACTAATATATATCAGTTCATAACAGAAGTTGTCACAAGCAGCGAAAATCAATAATACCTTTTTCAAATATCCTGCAAATGGAGAGGTCCTTTTTGAGCAATTTTTTTCGTCTTCAACAATGAACACTCCCACCTATTTGTTATGGCATGCATCCTTCATGAATAAAAATGACGCAACTTTTGTGTCACTTGTCTACTAATTGTCATCTTGGATGTAACGATTGGTTGATTACGAAAAGATCTCCACAGTGTAAAGTGACTTTAGTGGATTCCTTTAAGATTTTTTTTCTCTCGATACTTTCTGACATCCTTCCGTTTTCAACGACTTCTGCATTCATCTTTACTTCTTTATTTCTGTCTATCTGTCTGTGTTTTTCTTCCTTCCCCTTCCTGTTTCTTCCATGACCATCTCTCTATATATTTTAATAATTTAAAATATCCCTTAATCGCCATATTTTTATCTGCTTCTCCTTTTCATTCAGTCTTCCTAACCCCCCCCCCCCCCCCCCCCTCCCCCGACCCGTCCCTCTATTTCCCCCTTTCTCCCGTTAAAAGGCAGTGCATTATCCATGGTTTTAATATCAATAGTCTTGCGTTCATATTCCGTATGATAATGTAATGAAAATGCAGATATATCTTATATCCATCCTTCACTGAATCAGTTTCCCTCCATAGACTTGCGCTAGCAAACTGTAAACTATTGAAGACAAAGATTTAATAACATATTAAAGTTTGAAATATGATTAAATTCAATTTATTAATCAGATCTAAACCAAGAAAAACGTCGTCTGCACCCACCTGGCTGGCCAGTAGCTAGAAGCCAGACAGGCTAAATATTTGACATTTTATGATGAATCATAAAACAATGGAAGTGGATTCACGTCTCTGGAGTGCTTCACAAACATTGCCAATTAGTTGTGCCAAAGCGGGTCATGATTGGAAGATAACAAATCACAGTTAACACAGATGCTGATAAAATTCACGATAACATCTGAACAAATCTGATAAAATATTCAAGAAGAAAAGAAAACAAAATCGAAAGTCCTCGTTAATGGAGACAGACAGTGTTTGAAGACAAGTGCCTCTTTGGAAGAAGAAACATTCTGATCTTAACGTAGTGTTTGTTTGCTATGCTTTGCGTTTTGGTATTGGTTTGAAAGATGAAATATTTTTGTATTAGTTTCCTGTTCGTACATCTACCAGCAATTATCATAATCTACCAAGTAACATCATCGATTGCAGGTGAGTTGTTTTTCTAATTATTCAATTGTAATTTTCGTTACATATTATTATACCTAACTCAGTTTTTGCTACAAATCATTTTTGTAGGATCATATCATTAATTCAAACTATACGATTTTATGCAAAAGGGAAAGGCAGTATTTTATATTTCATTAACCCTAATAAGGCCGGGGGGGGGCCATTATGGCCCCCCCCCCCTCCACAATTTTTCTGATTGCTCGGGAACGCATATGGATGGCGCCCCGCCGCTCGCTGACTTTTTTCTTTCAAGCCTTGCGCAACTTTTAAAATAATTTTTTTGAAAATCGGACCTACGGTTACAAGGTCACGTGACCTTTTGTCCTTGCATGTCAGCCTGAAAATCGCTCATTTTCGTGATTTGTGTACAAAACGTATGGCAAAGTCATTTTTTCCTAAAAACAGATCAAACATGGGTTATTGGGTCTTGATTAAAGTTTAGGTGGTTGTTTTGGGAATCAAAATAGTTGAAATGTAGTAAAATATGAAATAAAACAACAAAAACAATGAAATACATAAGTTAAAAAAACAATGAAATACATAAGAAATTATCAAAACAAGGGATAGCATAAGAAATAAGCTGGCTCTTCCAAATTTTTTGTCGTATTATTATTCAGAATGGTCTAATGAATATATCTAGTGAAAAAGAATGCTTAAATATGAATAATATATGATTTATGGGTAAAAATGTGATTTTTATGACTTTATTTGCATAAATTACCATAAATATGCAAATGAGTGAATTTTTCAAAAAATTGAAATGATCATATTATTCTTTACACTTCACTTGACATGTGTGCAAATTTTCGCGGCGATCGGCCGCTTCGCGGCCGAGATCTTAAGGGGGGGCCATAATGGCCCCCCCCGGCCCTACTAAGACTTCAAATAGCCCGGCCCTATTAGGGTTAAATATCTAATGCAATATGATGACCAATGTAAGTTGTCCCTCTTCCTCGATTACTACTAATACCATCAACTTGCATTAGCTCACTATGACAATGTAATGTTAAACCGCTTAAAAACGCTTTTATCCGATTTGTCAACAACAACAAATCGTTTAAAATTAAATTTATAATTTATTACCAGGAGATTATGATGATATCAATTACGCATAATTACGTTAAAAGATGGGAGTTGTTGCTACCTTTTAGAACAACGTCGATCTGGCGCTGCTCAGTGGCTGACGGGCTCACGATCAATTGGGCAAAAATAATTTCCGTTTCGGTTTAATAAAATTTGGAGTGGACTATTAGGCTATTATTATTATTACTATATCATGTTTTTTCTTTTTTGGCAGGTTGTATTCGACCAGAGATTATCGATCCAGACATCGAGCTCATCGATGACCTACCATTATACGACGATGGAGCAGTAGTGATTCTCTTGTGTGATACCAGTCAGAGTTATGTAGGTTATGGACCTACTGCGATGTACTGCTCAACCGATACATGGATACCAGACCCATCTTTAAGGGAGTGTAAAGGTAACATGAGTTGACAATTTAAGAGTTAAGAGTAAAATCAATATTAGAATGGATTTGAGGCAAGTATAAAACAAAATAATTGAAAATGGAGACATACAGTAAGGAGTAATAAGTGTAATTATGTAAAGGGGCAGTTTGGAAGGGAGAAGATTAAAGAGAAAACTAAATTTAAACAGGTTGGGGTGTAAGGAACTGAAAGGAAAAAACTAGAGAGAAAGGGGATGGGGATATAGAGAAAGAAAGGAAGAAAGCGAGAGAAAGAGAGAGAGAGAGAGAGAGAGAGAGAAGGAACGATAACATATCACATATAGGAAAATATTGAATCAAGTACCAACGTCAATATTCTTTCGAAATGTGAACATTTTTTTTATCATGTTTATTATTTGTGGTACTTTATGCTAGCTCCATGTAACGCACCAGTAGTGACTGCTGGCGTATTGCATTATGATGCTGGTTCGGGCAAGACGGGGGATGTATATCTCGATAATACAGCGATCCAGTTTGCATGTGAAGACACAGAAAGAACTACACTGTATCATGAGCAAGGATTGGAGAAAAGCATCTGCACTGACGGCAGCTGGGACTCCCGGGAAGCTCCCATTTGTGCAGGTAAATATGAAAAGTGTCTGTCCGATTTCACAATCTTCCCCTTTTGTTCTTTTTCGCAAGAAAGCAAATTGTGTTATTTTATTGAAGGGCATGTCTATTTATTCATTAAATATGACATCAGTTAACCAATTTACAAAAAACAAACACTTAATCGTATGACTGATATTCTAGTAGTACATCCTAGTAAATCTTGAATCTTGAAGCAAATATTTCGCATCACCTTGGTATCAAAGATTTAACAGCGATACTACATTGTTATAATTGCCCTAAAAGCCCCTAATAATTTTGTTCGTGCTTTTAATTTGCAGAGAGTTGCACGGCCCCGCCAAACGCCGTACCATCCGGACTATTTCGGAATATGATAGAGGTCACGTTTGCGTGTGATCCGGGATTCCAGCCAATTGGACAAACTGAATTTATTTGCATTGACGGGCAGTGGAACGGCGAATTTTCTTGCGAAGGTAATGACCCTAGGGTCTGAAGACCATAACCCTAGCCCTAACAGAATCCCTAGCGCTAATCCTGATCCTAACTCCAAAATGCGCGGTGTGATATGCTGCAGATAAACTGATATTTAATTGGTAGTTATGCATTATCCAGAAAACTTACTAAATGAAGCATCACTGAACAATTGCAGAAAGCCGACCCTCCCCTGGAAGAAATAGCGCTCTATTTCCGCAATCTCGGTGCAAAACTAAAATGATGTAGTATAGGCATCAGTAAAAACAACGAAACGCTTCAAAATGTAATGTTTAATGTTCGTCATACTGGAATACTTTGAGTGTTTTTGGCGCCATTGCGTTATGCTCTTATTTACTGAATGCTTTTGTGTGCCATTTTTACAGGGTATGACTATAGAATACAACTAAACATGCTAAAGCATATATCAACATATTCTGGCTTACGTCTGTAATTTTACATAATTTTTTTTTTTGTTGGTTCCCGGACATTTGTCTTTCTTTGTTTATTCAAGAAATAGTTCATTTGAACATACAGTGGTTAAAGCCCCCCCCCCCCCCCAAAAAAAAAAAAACAACAACAACAACAACAACAACAACAAAAACGCTCCAACAAAGGGGCAATCTTACATCAATATGTTATTTTTTGTATCGTTGTCATTACTTGTTTGTATTGTTTTAGTTTTAGCTGTTTAGGCAAGAAGATACGAAACCTATCAGTTGTTATTGTCACACTTAAATAACTAAAAAATACACAGTATACAGATTTAATTTAATTGAATTGAAATGATAATGGTTTTATTGAGAATAAAAGAACAACAATGCATCGCGGCCTACACGGCCGAATTGGGCAATGTTTTTCATATGTAAAATACAATATATGAAAACATTCATATCAAATAACATCAAATTAATGAACTGAGCTTGAATAAGCAAATTGTTAAAAAATAAAATTTAACTTTAAAATTCTTATTTCTTATTATTTGATCTCCTTAACTCAATATCTGTACAAGAATTATTATATGATATGTATTTATGCAGCTATTCCGTCGGATGAGCCAATGACTGAAAGGCTAATGACTGAGAAACCGCAGCGTGAACAGACTACCAAACAACCTGCTACAACAGATCCACCTATTGGTAAGTGTCATTTGTAGGAATGACATTCAAAAAGTGACGTAAAAGAACTAGATACATGTTAAAAAGTAGACGTATGGTAATGTTGATTGAACAATTTCGATTCGAAATCTTCACCTTTTTATTCATGATGCATAATTCTTCGGATTATTTTTGTACATAATCAATCTGTTTTTTCTTTCTCCCATATTTCAGAATATCACCAGTATTAATACCGCAAATAGCTAAAGTCTTGCATGAGTTGTGTAACGAAAGAGCTAAAATAAATACGAAGCAGAGCAGAGAGAGAGAGACACGAATGAAGTGAATGTAATGTTAGGTTTATCTAACTATGAGCTAAAACAAACTGCTTGAGAGTTTTGAGGACTTATGAGAAAAGTCCTGCAACTTTTCTAAAAAGAACATTTCTTTTTTAAATGTCACAGTTTGTTTATTATAATCCAGCAAAGGCCAACAGATTTGATAACAAATACATCCTATTTGAATAATTTAATTTATTTACAATCATTGGGATATTACATGTCTCCATGTTGACGTACCTCACGGTTGTTGTCTGTTTTCTTCACATCGTTAAGTGTGCGATTTCCCGGACACTGCTTTGCTCGATCCAGATGCCATCGTCAGTCCAATGCAAGATGGTTACACTCTCTTTAGTCTTATTGAGCTAAGCTGTGGTGGCACTGAACTAACTACCAGTGATGGACCAAGCCGATTTGCTTGCTACAATCGTGGCATGTGGTTACCGTCAATTGAAGATTTTAAATGTTATCGTAAGTGCCTATATGTTCCGTTATATATTTCCAACTATAGCCACATACTACACCAAACTACAATATGATTATATTCTTGTTTTTATGAATAATTGATTTACGTGCATCATTATCATGATCAGCATGTATCAGTGTTATTCCATACATAGTAAGCTAACTAGACATCTAGTTTGCTGTTGTGTAATTAAGCCCCTATTCTGTAAATCCTAAAAAAAATTAAGTTGTCAATACATCAATCAATGATAATTATATAACAATAACAAAGGAGCAATGAAGATACAAACCTTTTAAAATATCTGTATTAAAACTAAATTTATTATTGTATTCACGTTATATATTGCTCTTCTTCTATACCTATTTCAGGACCATGCAACGCCCCATTGGCTAGTCCAAACGTGGAATACATTACTCTAGAGGGTCAAAACGTGGACGAGTTATACAGCCATAATGCAGTTATAGATTTCATCTGTAAATCTGAGAAACAATCGCTCTATGGTCCTTCCTTGGTGTCATGCTATGACGGCGAGTGGAATCCTCAACAGGTACCGACGTGTGAAGGTGAGGACTTCTCATTAGGTAGCTGGGCAAAATATAGTGACATGAACAGAAATGCATAATTGTTGAAAACCATAATTATATCGCACATTATGTTTACCTACATCATGTGAGCTAGTAAATAAATATACTATCTCAATGAGGCTTTCTATTGGTAAAACTTACATTTGGATTTGTTAAAACCAGAACTTCTATTAAGGTAATATTACTATCTGGTATGGCTTTGGGGTACCGGACGTTTCTCTCTTTGCCACTTCATTTCACAACGCCAAAACGATTCCGAACTGAAAATATAACCGGCAGCATATTGACGATTAAAGAAAGAATTTGTTCTGTCTGCTCTTTAGTCGGCCTATTCGGTGTGACTGGGGTATTTAGGTATGGGGATAATTGTATAGCGACTTGTATGCACACACCAGTTTATCTTCAACGATTACCATCCGGATATTTACCCTTAAGAGAATAATCGATTTTAGGTTAAGTTTTTAAGCATAATTTTTATTTAGATGATCCATTACTTATAGCATATGTAATAAAGCAATTGTATGTGAGTCTCTAAGTTTAATTTGAATTACGTAATAATGGTTGTTTGCATTTCAGACTGCGTCAGTAATTAACTTGAAGCAAAAATATTACCAGAAACCAAGCAATGAAAACTATAGTCTAGGGTTTGTTTCTTTTCTTTTTAGATGTGAATCCATTTGAACTAAAATTTAAAATAACCCATATTGACGGCTCCCCGGCAACGTACAAGACCGACTATGCAGATGACGAGTCACAAACCTTTATCGAGATGGAAACAGAGCTCGTTCATGCGGTAAGTTTATTAGTATAATTTAATTCTAGATAATATGATAACACGTATAAATATAGCGATACATATTGCTATGAACAAAGAAAGTGTATTAGCATTATTCAATTTTCGATAATAGTATAGTTGGTATGAATAAAGCAAGACATCACAACTGATAATACCTAGTATCCAAATAAATGAACATGAGGATATATTTACATTGAATACACTATTTTGGAATTAGACTAATGCATGGATTGAAAGGATAATACAATGATGATGACGACGACCATAATGCTAACAACGATGAAAAAATGTCTAATATAGATAAATAAACAAACAAATACAATAAACATATATATTTATAACAATATTGCATTACTTGCCATGGTGGCTTCACTAGTATGTATATGTACTCTTCAAAGGGGCCTGCAATTAGCCTTCATACAAGCATTGCTAGTTTACATTATCTATACCTTGATTCAGATCGAGAGACAGATTTGGGTTAAGCACTTTGCCCATTGGTGACGAACCCATGATTGTTTGTCAAGCCAAGAGCCTTCACCAATATACCACAGTGCCCTAAACTATTCAAATTTAAAATTCAAATTGTCAGTATTGGTCTAAAAGGAAATTCGTTCTGTTAACTCATAGCGAGAAAAAAAGATAAAATGTACATGTGACATGATACATACAACATATACCAGTGCATAGGACCAATAAAACAAATTAAACCAATGACCAGACTGACCCCTTTCTCTCTTTTTCTCTATGACATCAACACCTATTTGCCCACCAGATTGAGACGATCTACACACTGTTGGATGGTTACCTGCTTTCAAAAATAGTCTCCTTCTCAGACCCTGGTACGAGTGGATTAGACGTCTGCGCAGTCGTTTTTATCGATAAATCATCAGTTTCCGGTACCCTTGAAGAGGTCAGTGCCGAGACTGATCGGATCCTAGGTCAGAGTGCAACCATCGATGGACTGTCTTTCCGCTTTACTCTCGATGGTGCATCGGTTCTCGTCTCTGGTTAGTGAACAGAAATCGTTGTCGTATGTATAGATTCTTTGCCTTGATCTTTATATCGTCGTCCGAAAGGCATCTTTTTTATTCCATAATTTGACATATGTTGCTTCTATGGGCTGAAAATGATTTCATTTAAGATGAAGATTAATTGCGTGATACGCAGTCCTAATACATTGAATATCAGTGGAAGGTCATTGTCTGTAATTATATATTTGGCCAGGAAATTAAAGGGACCAGGTGAGTGTTTCGCAAAAACTAAGATCGCCTTTAAGTCGGACTTAACTATGGTAGGCCATTCATGCCATTGTTTTCTGTAATGGCATTGGTTTCTCAAGGGAAGTACAAATCGGGGTCACATAACTACAGAATTTACAATTTTTGATCATTCATTATTGAAGGAAAAAAATAGTATATTAAGATCATAATTGAGATACCAATGGTGAAAGCAACTAGTGGCATGAATGGCCTGCCCTAGTTAAGTTCAACTTAAAGTCGATCTTAGTCTTTGTGAAACACTCCACAGGAATGTAATTAGTCGAATCCACGTTACGTTACAGAACCATGTGAGATACCCGATCTTCTTGAGGGCATCGTATTTGAATCTTCAAATGAGCCCTTGGAGAATGTCTGGTACCCTGACAGTACAACCTTCAGTCTATCATGCGGAGATGAGGACTACATCATTGATGGACCAACGCAACTGGTATGCGAGAATGGAGCTTGGGTGCCTGAAGGAGAACCAATCTGTATCGGTATTATCATTGATTTTAAATGCAATATTATTTTGGTTGTAGGATGTAAATTAAGAAAATATATATGTAAAATAAAATCAGAGAAGTCTTGTATTGTTAAACCGATGATATTGCAAAATTATTTATATTATTAAGGTATGAAACTGTTTGTAACGGATGTACTTCTGATATACACTACAATGCATTAAATAAAATGACAGGCTCGAAAAAACGAGGATGACATATGCCTTGAAATGTGTAAATATGTATTTTTCAAACTGGAATATATGCATTTTAATATGATTATTCCCCCTTTCCACATCAAATAGAACTACAAACGACATCAACCGCTGATGTAACGGAAACGCTTCGTCAGACGACCCCGATCGCTGAAACTACAGGTATGACGCAACAAACACAGAGCACGGATGTTCAAAGTGAATCACCTCTCATTTCAGCAATGTCCACCTCAGCATTCACAACGTCAACATATACCCTAGAACCACACGATACCACGACACCACTGCAGACAATATCAGAAATATCTTTCTCAGACATGACAACACATATATCAGCCAGCCAAGCTACAACTATCCTGACAGTAGAAACGACTGAAGTATTGACAACGCCAGAGGGGGAGATAACGGCTACTGAAGATTCCAAGTTAACCGAGTTCTTAAGCACTTACGGCAATGATTTTACGACTTCAGGCAGTTTGGGCTATACTGCTTCCACTGTCACGCTTAACAGTGTGGACGATGTAACAACATATGAAACAGTTCGTACAGATACTTCGGTGCGAACAGACCATACAACAAGAGCGACAGACAGGGGAATATCTGATTGGCCTACAAGTTTTATTCCAACGACTGGTGACCAAACATCATTTCGAACCACACGAATTTCATACAGCAGTACAGATAGTACAACAGCGACAGATCCGAACCCCACGACGGATCTGCAACCTACGAAAGAAGTCTCAACATTAATCAGTAGTGTGTCCCCAACACTGTTGCATACAGATGGGACCTTCACGTCATCCGATGCTAGTGAGCCAACTAGATTAATGACTAAATCACCAATTCCACTAGAGACAACATATGAGGAACAATCGGCTACCACGCGAACTGGAAAGAGTACTGATTCATTAACTACTAGTGATGAAGTATATACGGGTACTTTTTCATCTTCAACATCAGGACCCACTTTGGGTACGGAGAGACTCTACACGATAACAGAATTAACAATGGCCAACACAGAAGAAGAGATAACGACACATAACATAGAACCGACTATAGAAACTTCGACTCCATTAACCTCATTTCCACAGACGCCGAGTCGAACCAATACTGATAACATTGGGTCACCTAAAGCAACTGATTCAATATCACAAACTGCCCTTGCCTCAATAACCGGTTCCTCTGAATCATCGGATGTCACAACTTCTAATGCACCAACTGAATCTGATACAAATTTTGTTACAACGGAGTTCCTTGCAACAAGTTTGTCTGACACTGAAGCTTTATCTACTACTTTAGATTCTATCTCTAATTTGGAAACTTCCCAAACAACTCAAGGATCTACAAAGGACAGTATCAGTACAAATAAAGTGCAAAATACGACTTACCAAGAGACGAGTCGTCTTTCAACCAATGGTCCTTCGAGTATTCCGACTGATTTGATGACGACATCTCCTGATGAACAGTTTACAGAAAATGCACTGACTTCGCGTATAACGGCAACTGACTCTACGACAGATGTTACAAATGTAGTGTTGACGACAGCAGGAGAAAAAACAGTGGAGACGACTGACATGTTCTCGTCAACGATAACAGAAGTAACAATGACCAACACAGAAGAAGAGGCAACGACAGATAACTTAGAACCTACTCTAGAAAATTCGACTCCATTAACCTCATTTCCACAGACACCGAGCCGAACCAATACTGTTGGCATTGGGACACCTGAAGCAACAGATGTTGCCTCCCGATCTGATTCAATATCACAAACTACTCTTGTTTCAATGACTGGTCCCACTGAGTCGTCGGATATCACCACTTCGAACGCACCAACTGAATCCTTTACTCAAATTCTTATAACCGAGTTCCTTGCAGCAAGTTTGCCTGACACTGAAGCTTTATCTACTACTTTAGTTCCAATATCTAATTCGGAAACTTCCCAAACAACTGAAGGATCTACACAGGACAGTATCGGTTCAACATCAGCTATCACCCATGTGACCCAGTTCCATGCTACTATAGAAGAGACAGAAGCCAGTATGACAAGAACAACTAAGCTTGGAAATGAAGCAACATCCCAGATGTTGACTGAGTGGGCTTCTCTTACCACGGTCTATTCAGATGAAACAACAGTGACTGATTTACTTACAACTGTGAGAAGACCCGTAACATATACTACCGAAGCATATAGCACCGACCATCCTACTGATGAACCCTTCAAAACAGGTTCAGCACGGACAATGACACGAAGTGATGATCCGACAACGAGCGAGATCACAGAAACAACAAAAGGTGTTCTGAAGACTACTCCCCACTTTACGTCCACTTTTAGAATGAACTCCCATGCTCTCACTACCTCCCAAGACACCCAAACTGCAGAAGAATTATCAACATCAGCATTCTTTCATCCGTCAACATTAGCACCAACAGAAGGGGGTTTGTTTTCTACTCATGAAACAGTGAGTGCAGTCAGTGACGAGGTGACGGATAGTGATTTAGTAACATCTCACAGCGCTACCACTCCTGATTCATTTGAACAAACGACACGCATGCCTGGAGATCGAACGGCTTCTATGAAATTTACTTCAACAGAGGCAAGTCGGGAGACATCATCCATGATAACAGATCTGAAGACGGATTCAAATGAAGGATATTCAACAGCAACACAGCAAACAGAAGGTTCGACGGATGTTGGTACGACGATGAAAACAATGAATTCAATTACCCCAGTAGGTCGACTGACTGAAAAGAGAACGACTCAAATTAAAACAACGGCTTGGAAAACAACTGAAAATGACTTGGAGACGGAAGATGGTGTTTCTTCCCCAAGTGTGATGATAACAGCGGATGAAAGAACGACAGAGGACTTTACGGCAAGAACAACGAGTAGCCGGAAAACAAGCGGGATCACACCAACTGTAGACGATATGTCGTCAACGACAGAAAAGGAGACGACCTTTGAAAGAACGACAGAGGACATTACGTCCAGAACAACGAGTAGCCTGACAACAAGCGGGATCGCACCAACTGCAGACAATATGTCGTCAACGACAGAAAAGGAGACGACCTTTGAAAGAACGACAGAGGACATTACGTCCAGAACAACGAGTGGCCTGACAACAAGCGGGATCACACCAACTACAGACGATATGTCGTCAACGACAAAAAAGGAGACGACCACACAAGATAACTCATCAGAAATGATTTTCTCAAGGACAACAGCGAAACAAGTGAATAATTATCAATCGACTACAGATGATGGCACCATTTCAGCAGACTGGACGACAGCTGAATATATCGCTACAGAGTCGCCTACATTGCCTACTGCGACCATGACGATCGGTTATGCTTCAACAATCGATGCTACGACTGGAGATGTTACATCCACTCTTCATCATCTGACATCTACCAAAGATATGCCATCATCTTCAATGGTAACCTACGCAGACACAAGCAATCCCACGCCTAAACATACAGTGCAGACTACGACGTATCAAGAAGAGAGTAGTCTTTCAACATATGTCCCTTCGAGTACTCCGACTGATGTGATGATGACATCTGCTAAAAATGCACTGACTTCACGTATAGCAGCAACCGAAACTACAACAGATGTTACAAATGTAATTTTGACGACAGCTGCAGATAAAACAGTGGAGACGACTGACATGTTCTCATCAACAGTCAAAGAAAATACACCCGGAATTACGGATAGTATATCCAGCAGCCAGGAAACAGTGGCACCACAAACGGACACGGATACCGTGACACCAGCCACAGCTGAAGCAACGGAAGGGGGTCCTTCCACTCAAATACACTCACAAGGTATGTGAACGTAGCATTAGTCATAATCAATAAAACTTCAATGAAAATGCTGCAAACCATACATGCAATATCGTGATTGTGTTTTGCCTATCCGCCAATTTTATTCTTGTATTTCAAGGCAATATCACTCCGTCAGTATAAAAGCAAAATGCCATTTCATCCAACATGTCGAACGTAATTTAAGTCAATTAGTCATTTGCTGTAATGTTTTAAAACAAGACAGGCTTAATTCTGATTATTGCAATAACCTTTTTTTTCAACGTTGTACATCAGAGCCTTGCAAGAGCTGTAATCCAGAAACTGAGACATGTTTAGACGGACGATGCGAATGTAGACCAAGCAAATATAGAGTTTTCTCCAATGATGAATGCTCAGGTGAGAACCTTTAATTTGTTATGTAGAATTCATGCTCGAGGCATAATGCAGAAGAACCGGAGAAGAGGCTATTTTGTAGCTATCCAGCGTATTCTATCAAAAATGATGGGAAGTTACAAAAATGTAAATAAACCTGACAGTACTATGTAGTTATAAAAGGGAGGTAACCGTTCTTTATAAGTAATTAGCATGATGAGAATGTAGCCCCATCTTTGGGAGAAAACTCTTAAAGCACATCACAGTTCACAATACAAAATAAACTCTACCTATTTAAATGCTAATATAATTTGACATAAAGGATAATTGTGTCGTGTTTTTTCAATTGCTATCTTATATATTAGCGTATCTCTCTTTAATTTATTTCATTTTTTGCAGAAACAAAATCCTTCACCTTGACGTTTAGAATCTTGTTGATCGAACAAGGTCAAGCCATCTTCAACAATGACCTTCTGGACAAACAGAGCTCTGCCTATCAAATACTGCAAGGAGATCTCGTCAAGTCGGTACGGTGTGAATTCAATAGTTGTGCCAATGTGATATTTGTGAATACGAGTATAGAAAATAGTCTGTGTATATCAAGACCATTATTGACATCGCTGCAAAGCTCATTTTTCAATAACACAATACTAGTCTTGACATACCTAACTATTTGCTTCACTCTTAGCTGAAAGAAACTCTACTACATTCGGAGAGATTGAGTAGTGCTATCTATATACAAAAAAAAACAACTTACAACTTAATAATTATGATATGAGGGACGTCACAAGGAAGATCCATTGAACATCAAAGTGAACAATCAGATGGAACGTGGCGAAAAAACAGTAAATAAGACGAACAGGAGCTGAATGAAAGTTGGCATACACTAAGGTTAAACCCTAAACCTGGTAGGACACTAGATAACAGATGAAAACCTTACCATTATAATCATATTGAGACATGTAACACGAGTAACAATGTAGAGTTCGTACTATTATCTTTTATCGGATGTTGATGAAAATTGAAATTAGATGATGAAAGATTTTAACCTGAAACGCATCTCTCGCAGCTCAAGCTTGAAATTTTATCGTTGGCAAGTTTTTATGAAGCTCCATTAACAAACTTTCAAGACAAGTCAAATCTGCACAAGAGCGTGAGTGATATGAAGATATCATAAATACCATTTTTCCTTTTTGTGACCTAGATCAATTCAATATTTGATGACTTACCGAGCTTTCTAGGATCAGAGATCTTCTCTTTCCAATCTGGGAGCATCATCGCTACCTCTCTGGTTTACTTCAATTCAAATTCACTCGTCACCAATGATAGTCTGACTAATCATATTGATGACGTCTTGACAACTGATGAATACACAATCAGTAGTAACTCGTCATACACATTAGATGCTAGTAACCTTGTCATTCAGGGTAAGTATCATGAGAGGCGTTTGACTATTTCAATTGATAAATTACAGTTACCCTTGTTAAATAGATCTAGCATGATGTACAACTGTTTCGCATTATAATTATAGGAGCCTTAGTTCAAATATGACATTCATTTTTTTCGCGCACTATTATAAATTTTTAAACCAAAATAGACCACGATGACATATTAAAACATTGTGAAAAACATATGTCGTTAATGACTTAATTAGTCATATAACAAGAAAGAAAACATGATAATCATATTTTATTTGATTCCGCGAGGCTTTAAATAATTCTTGCCAAGCCTACGATGATATTCATTTCTGCACCATTGATATAATCAAAATTAATATTATACTGTATGATTTGAGGCATAATGAATACCTGCTAAATGTGTATATCGTTCAGCTACCAACGAGTGCTCACTCGGAACAGATGACTGTTCGCCTTTTTCAACCTGTTCTGATATCGACAAAGAGGGCTTCAACTGCACCTGTATTGAGGGATATACTTCAATATCTATCCCTTCAGGCCTGCATTGTGAAACAGGTACTAGTTATTTGCATGTTTCTGAATCAGGAAATAGTCCTTTTCTAATTGATGACTTCGATACGAAAGATAATAAATGAAGGGCGAAACTGAAAAAAAAAAACAGATAACGTATAAGAAATAGATATTAAGTTGATAATGGATTCCCATTTTGATTGCAGTTTGAAAACCATGGACTAACCCAATAAATCAATAGGAAGAAAACATAGGAAAACAGATGAACACCTAAAATCTTGACTGACTATGTAACTTAAGTTCAACGGAAATGGTGACATCACTTTCATTAATTCATATTCGTATATAAATCTCTAAAATAATTACTGTCATAGTATGCACTCCTTTTTGATGACCACACAAACTCACTCAAAATTAAATTATGAATCGCACTCACACAGAAAAAAATTAATGTACACTTGATTGTTGTTGTCAGATCATCATACATTGAAAAGAACTAACTGATGATAATAATACCAGTGATATTTGTATTGATTTTGTTGTTGTTGTTATTATTGTTTCTTTTTCTGTTTCCTATTTGGTATCAATTTCTGTCAATAGTGACAACTACATATACGACTGAAGACCTGATTACGAGTACTGTGATGGCTAATGGAAACTCACCCTCAATAGGTAGGCATGTATGCATCTTGGTAAATCATAGCAACCTCTAACTTTAATTGGAGAGGGGAGACATATAGACAGGATATGAAAGAGAAAGATGAAGAAAGAGAGAAAGAAAGAGATGTTGAGATAAAGAGAGAGAGAGAGAAGAATAAAAGGAAAGAGACCGCCCTATTTTACTCTGCACACACTTTCAATGTTGCTGTTTTTAAGGTTTGTTTCAATGATAAGTTTCCGTCGGAAATAACAGTCCTATGCAAATTACGAACATTAAACTAGTTTAACTTAACTAATTTCATTCGCACTGCATTGAATTGTAAAATGTATAGTCAATTTTACGTTTCTTGTACAAAAAGAAAGAAGAGAGACAAAACCTGTGTGGGTGCATATGGTCTACTTATGTCTCTTTACTATATAAATTGTAAAAACAAATGTAATCTTTGGACTTGATACATTTTTGTTATTTCTTTTGTTTCTCTCTTCTTCTTTTTTAGCTACATGGATCTTGATTACAGTGTCGGTCGTTGGAGGCGCCTTTATTATCTTTCTGCTGGTATCGCTTATATGTGTAATCAGGAAATCATCTAAAAGAAAGATCACGCACCCTGAAGAAACATTGGTTGTACCAAAGGCTAAAAAGGACAATAAGGTAAATGTTGTAACTTAATGACTTATGTCGCAAAATATCTAACTTCAATCGGTTAATGATTAAACATATTTCAGTTTTCAATAAGTTAAAACAATTTTCTGGAGAAACATGTGGAAAATGTACATGAGACAACTATTTTGTTAATAAAGTTACACAACCAAATAGGAGCCCATTAATCCCAGGCAATTTGCTTACATATTTTTACAGCGAAACATGATGGATACATCAACAGTGATGTCAATATTTATGCTGTGTTCATTATTTGGGACAATAAACTGTTCATTCTGATAAAATGTTATTTTGAAAAAGGAAAATGTTTGTATAATTTAACCAGTATACTGAAATCACAATAGATAATTAGAAGGGACTAACAAAATTAATTTCTTTTATTGCAATAATCAACATGAGTTCATATGTTTCCTTGTCCAAAATAAAAGCAGGAATTATGCGTGTCTTTTTTTTCCTTAAACTATTTTTCTCATTCTAGTTGGAGGCTTATCGCGGCTACTACACGTCTTTCAACGAATCAATTGACGAGTCAACAGATTACGTGGAGGATACAGCGTTATGATGGTGACTACATTTACATGATCCATTAAAATTATAGTCATGTTCCAGATACCGCAAGAAGTTATGTGACGGGTCCTAGATTCCCTTCTTGCATGGGGGTGGGGGGGGGGCATGTCCTAACATTATAATAAAGTGAAGGAAGTGAGGGAGAGAACGAGAGAGAGAAAGAGAGAGATACACATATATATAGGTAAATAGATAGGTAAGTAGGTAGGTATAGAGATAAAAGAGAGAGAGAGAGAGAGAAAGAGGCGGGTCAAACATTTGGCCGTGGGCACATTAGGACCAGAAATATAACTTTAGAATATTGACCACTGAGCTGTTATCGCCGGAGCATGTGTCGCAAGCAGTAAGAACATTTTCTACACAACTTCCTTCTTATCATGTTATTCAAGGTTGAACAAAACATGTAGGTAGTTGCTTAAAACTCTGCCATCACATTATGATAATTTATATAACATTGTTTCACTGTAAAGGATAGACTGATATGAAATAAATCAAATACAATAATCTTTCCATCACATACAAGACATTTGACACGTAATGTCTCTGATTAGATTATCACGTGTAATCTGTTTACTTTGTATCGCGTACTTTCATCTCCATTGAGTCAATAAGTACAGTAATATATTGTGGATTTATTGTTCTGTTCGTGTTTCTTTTCGCCATTCGTAAATGTGTACGATGTAAATAGACTTATGCTGTATAACTGAATTATCTCATTTGTGTTTCACTCTTTTTGTTCTTAATTTGTCGTTAGAGTCAGTTTTGGTTCTGCAAATTTAATTAATAACGTTTGCTTCGATTTGGTTGACATGTAATAAACTATTGATATGTATCTATGAATTCTAAAAGAAAACAAATGTATATACAACACTGTATGTCGATTAACGTTTGTTTATCATCACCTCCATTTATGGCATGATCTATTGATGTTAATGTAAATAAGATTTGCAAACAATAAAATAGGAATCAAAGGTTACTGTGTTTATTTGATTTGACAATATACAAATAATACATGTTTTCGAGTGCACTAATTAAAATACCATGCACGCAGTTCAAGGCACATTAGGAACATGAACGAGACATGTCGAGTTAATTGTCCATCTAATTGTGACTTAACCAAGTGCAGTGTATATCACTAATGCACTAGCTGAAAACATGTATCATTTTTTTAATAAGATGGGTCTACAACATAAAATTAGAGTCGAGAAGTTGACCGCTGTTATCCCCAATGTACAAGCCCCGTGCATATGGTGAAAATCATGCACGTACACGTGACCGTTTCGACGTTTCTCATTGGCTACACTATGTCTTGATCTAATTTTATATTGATCAATTACAGTTCATAATATCTTGAATATCCCTCTGCCCACTGCTTAAATAGGTGTTTAAGAGTCTCAATGCACAGTGTATGTAATTTATCATCTGAATCTGCTCATAGATTTTCATTTGCCAGTAAACGATGTAAATTGATGTAAGATTTGCATATCGAACATGTCTAAATCTATGGTCACACATATAAAAAGTAGCCTGCTCGGCGGCCGGGCGGCGAGTTTTTAGCCAATTTCGCCCGGGCACCGCTTGTTTTTAGGGCATCGCTCGACGGAGAACGCTCGGGTATCGAGAGTATTTTGGTGACCCGTCGATCACCGGCCGGCCGCCGGGCAATTTCTTTAAAATCAGTGGGTGGCCGGTGGTAGACTGCTCGGGAATCGATGGGTCATCAGTCGGTAACTGCCGTAGAAAAATTGATAGGGCACCGCCTAGGCATCGCTAGGGCTCTACATCCTGCTCGACTTCTCCAAAAATCGCTGGGCGATGCCTAAATTCCAGCGGCGACCGAACAGGCTACTAATCGGTCGGTCGCCGCTCTGAGTTGTGACCATAGCTTTATGCATGGTCGATAGGATGCGAAAGCTAATGTGGTTTGATTAGCAATGGCGCTTGCAAAATGGCGACTGGCTGGAATACTCCCCAGGGAGTGGAGAATGTGCATACCTTGTGTGTGGGTAAGCATGAATCCGATGACCGGGGTAATAGTATATATATATATATGTAAAGCGCATTGAGAGGCCTGCGGTCCTGAAATGCGCTATATAAGGACGAACTATTATTATTATTATTAAAATGGGTCGATAGGTTTCAAATTCGTTGTACTAAATCGAATTTCCCCTTGAACCTTAACTAATTACAAGAAAATTTAAGAACCGGATTTTCACCACCTGACCGCAGATTCCTTGCTTCCTGAATAAAGAAAATGGAAGGAAAATAATAATGTTTGTTTGCATCAAATACAGATTGCATAAATTGGATTCAGTTTCCTGCAAAGGGCCCAGAGGTCTCGTGTTAAAATAGCTGCTTTCTTCCCTTACGTTTTAGAATATATTATATATTTTAAATCACGTTTCCTTTATTAATATTTAATTTGATATACTAAATATCGTTTCATTTGAACGAGGAGATGCATACTGAAAAGTTAATTCTGAATTGTAAGGGTTCATCTTTTGCTCAGTTGTTAATTAGCCATATACAGCCTATTGATAAAGTTATGAAACACATTTGCTAAACATTATCTTTAATACCTTTTTGTTTTTTCAATTATTAATATTATGTTTTCCACTGATACTTTGTAATTATTTATTTTTTTCATTTATAATATTATATATATTTTTTACATTGTATAAACTTGCCCCATGGAACACCAGCAGCGACAATATAGTTGCTGCTGAAAATAGGGCTACCAGCCGTGTTCTGTTCTTTTTTTTGGTATGATTACTTCGTATGTATTTTATCAAATTTTATATATACGGGAATAAAACAACAATATTACCTTGTTTATCACTCTGTTCTCGGCAAGCAAATTTCGATTTTGCCCTGTTTGTAAGTTTGGTTACTTAATTCGTCGCTGTTTTCACGAAGTGACGGTAGTGAAAAAAAATTGCATTCACTTTGCGTTACGATTTTCCTCACTACCGTCACTTCGTGAAAACAAGGACGAATTGGCAATTGTACTTTCATTTTATCTTAATATTATGTACAATAAAAACATACCAATCTATTCCAATATTGTGTGATGCGAATTTTTGTTAATTGTCAAGGTAAAGTTTGTCATGGAAAATAGTAATTATTATGATGATCGTAATGATAATAATAATAATAACAGAAGTAGTAATAATGATAATAATAAGGCGAGGCGTCAAAAATGAATATACCAGCCGGCGGCAGCTAACTGCACTTATGCGTCTTGGCTGCATTTTTTAAATTAGCTAAGCCGGCTAGCGCTGGCGGTAGGAAATGGCATCCAAAAGAATGCGCCGGCTGCCGCCTATCGAATGGAAACCGAGCCTCGGAAAAAGCTAGAAAACATGAGCTCAGCCTGGCTGCCGCCGACGGGAGGATAGTGATATGCCGCCAAACTCCAGCCTCTCGCATGGAAGCCGAGCCTCTTCTTAATGAGGTCGCCTGGGCCCCCGCCGGCCTAATTGAACCAGCCACCCGCCGCCTGGTTCAACGCCACATCCTGCCAAACGATATCTTCATAAAGCAGAATCTAATTTGTCAGAGCAAAAGAAACAGCGCCATCTTATCATCACTGATAAATAGCTCGAAAAAACAGTATAGCCTTGCAAAAATAATCTTTTCAGATTGGACAGCCTTATAAACCCCAATACAACAATAACAACTTGTCACTAGAGACAAATATGTGGTCATTCTTTTCTGATATGCCTTTTTCAATAAAGAGACCAGTCGTACCGTGGATATATGTGGGCTCACTTCATGTAGATGCATCCTGCCTGTAAATGGATTAGATGCCTTGTATTTTCATATTTAAAAAAAATAATTTTGGTAACAACATAAGATTTGCTATTTTAAATTACTGGCTCGCCTATTGTTTATAATACCCAAATCATATATTTGTGTTTATTTTTGTTATGCTTCAATGATATAAATCCTATTATATACCTTACTTTAAGAATCTTTCCTAATCCTGCCATATGATTGGTTGAAAGTGGAGTCGTGATTTTAACTATGCCCGCCAAAATGATCTGTTTTTAAATATGCCTGCCAAAATGTTATCTTTGTCAAGTCGAGGTGAGGGAGATAATATTATCTTTGTCAAGTCGAGGCGAGACAGACAATATTTATATTATATTATAATATGCTGCTGTCATGTTCTGATGAGTTGCGTTTGAAAGATAGAGTTCAGTCTAGACATCAGGGGTGCTTTGTTTTTCGAAGAATTTAGAAAATATAAATCTAACGTACATCTCTATGAGTTTTTTGGGGACTGAATAGATAATAAAAGCAAACATGTCAACGGCAAGCAAGACAATGAAGCATATATTGTCATAAAGCTTTTTATTAAATGAATTTTCTGTAAATATATTGAGTAAATAGGTCGATAATAGAAAAGGGTAGAAGGTATAAACAGTTTTTCTTCGAGTGTATTTTTTTCGTTTAAAATAGAAATTCTATTCTTGAAGTAGTAAAGCCTGCCTTTAAGGAAAGAGAAGATGAACTCTTAATCCATGTCTGAATTCAATTGCACCCTCCCCCCTCCTGTGCGAAGCGCGGAAGCTTTGACATTTCATTAACATATTACTAGACAAAGAAGACGATTCTTTATAGAGTTCTCGATTCTTAAAGGTAATACAAAGTTTTGGGAAATTTTGAAAATTGGGTGGATAATGATTCTTTACAAATTTGATATATTTGGATGCCCCTGTAGATGTATTGTAAGCACTACAAAATTTAGCCCCTAAAACACTTCTGCTTTCGAGAAAAATTGAATATTACAATTTACTGGTGCTCCCGGTAAATGTTGATGAATTTGAAATAGCACCTACGGCCATACAATGGGAGCTGCGACCATGCAAATCTCAGAATATGTAGTTGTGATATATAATTTCCAAACAGTAATAGCTAATCGGTCGATTTTAGTCAAGAAACATTGGTTTATAGCTTAATTAATATCTTGACCTTTAGAGGGAGCTATACAACATAAAGAGTTTATTATTTACAATTTCATAACTTTTGACTCGATTTCAATCGCGACAACGATCCTTGAATATTGTAGGATCGCATATGCTTCCAATATGTCCTTTTGAACCAAATTCATGACCTCATACCAAAACTTTGTATTACCTTTAATCCTTGTCTGAATTTTTAAAAAAAAGTTCTTTGTCTGCTACTTTGGTGGTTATTGCTCAGTTGCGAAGCCAGAGACAGCATTTTTCCACAGTTATGAAATACAATTTTAAAAAGCTATTTTATATTACCTTGGTTAACTCTTTCTCAGCCAAGCAAATTTCTGGTCAGCCCCAGGGGCGGATCCAGCCGGCGTCGAGGGGGGGGGGGGGGGCCCAATTTGTGAGAAAATATTGAGCGGCGCGTCAGCGCCGCGTTCCGCGCTTGCGCGGACAGGGGGAGTCTGAGGGGGGATGTGTCCCCCTGAAAAGCTGAAGAAAAATCGAATTTGTAAACTCAATTTGTGCGATTCGGTGTATACTTTTTGCCAGGATATCATTTGAAATCTGTGACTTTTTCCAGCATAAATTTATGATAGGAGGAAAAGACTGTAAACACAAGAAGTGGGACTATGTGTGCAGTCCGCATAGTACCCCGTTGTGACAAAAAGTCTTTAAGACACTGGTATTCATGGCACCGGTACCTCTAGGCAGGCTCGTACGCAGGGGGGGGGGGTTAACCCCCCCTTTAGTTATTTTTATGTGTGTATTTTAGAATAAACCCCCCCCCCCCTTCGGCGATTTTTTTTTTTTTAAATGTCCTCTTACCACCCCTCCCCCCCCCCCCCCCCTCGCCGCTTATTCAGCAGCCGGCTGAGTCGTTGCGATTTTTTTGGGACCAAAAACAAAAAGTGTCCTCTTACCAACCACCCCCCCCCCCCCAGTGTTTTTACCCAGATTCTGGCGATAAAAATGGGTAATTTTCTGAATAAATCAGGCTTTTACGACCACTTTTACGGAACTAATTTTATGAATCCGCGAACTGCCGAATTTGGAAGCTTTGCCGACATGCTTCACGATGCCTCCGTGTTTTTACTTTTCGCATTGGCTATTTTTCGTGCTTTTTTCCTTAATTACGTTTGTCGCGCTTTTATGTAGATAAAATATGTGGTCTCGCATTTTGCAGGAAAACAAAAGTTTATTTTCTGGGGCCTTGCCCTTGGTTGGTTTCTTTATATTTCTCTTTAAAATACTTTTTCAAATAAGAGGGGGGGGGCTCGAGCCCCGCCATACCGCGGACCATGTACACTGTGTAACAGCATGATGATTTGAAGGATGGACCTAAAGTTAACCGAGTCCTGAAATACTTTTGAACGTTGTAACTTGTACGCCCTAGTGTAGAGAGAGATCATCAGCAGTTTGTTTCTATCATAATATATAGGCCTAAAACACGAATTAGGGCTAGTTTTGACCTGAAAACAACCCAAAGCTCGGTGCATGTCCAGCTGAACCGCGGGAGCTTGGCCTATATACGGATAGGTGAGGGCCCTAGGTCCACTCCTAACTCGTGTTTTAGCCCTTCTTTCTTCCCTTTTCCTTTTCTTTCCTTTCCTTTACTTTCCTTTCCTTTTCTTTCCTTTCCTTTCTTTTTTTTCGGGGGGGGGGGGGGGGCCGGGCCCGTCGGCCCCCCCCCCCCCCGTGGATCCGCGCCTGGTCAGCCCTGTGTGTAAGTTTGGTAATGAATCGGCCATAGTGTAGGCTTTTACCTTCATTTTCAATCTTGATATTGTGTATAATAAAACATATTGAATTTTTCAAATAGCGCGTGATGCAATTCCTTGTAAATTGTCAGTTTATATTAAGACA